CCTGCACCCAGTGCTGCAGCCCTGGGCTCGTTACCCACCTCCTTAATTGCTTGGTAAGATCAGGGGGTGTCATGGAAATAAACTTCTTTGGGTTTTTAAGGGAGGTTGTAGAGCTTACTCATGCTAATGAGAAAATCACTTTTTTTGTTTTTTCTGTGTTTTCAAGCCCTGGGAGCTTTGGAGACTTCTCAGGCACCCCCTAAGCCCCCCATCTCCTCAGGGATGGTGGCTGCAGCTGGTCTGGGCAAGTCCAAACTCCCTTCTACCTCCTCTGTGTCCCCAGTCCCTGCAGCACTGGAGCACAGCTCGCAGGGCAGAGCCCCCCCATGCCACCCCAAAGCACCTCTCCAGCCACTCCCCCAAACTGAAGCTGGTTTTCCTGCTGCCCCAAACCCTTTAAATCTCACAGGGTCATCAGAAGCCCCAGGACCTGTGAGAGGCTCCAGAGATTCATTTACAATATTAAAGATGAGAAAATAAATCAGTTTTCCTTTCCTCTCCTTATCGAAGACCTCCCCAAGCCCCCCCCAGCTTCCTCCTCTGGTGAGGTTATCCCAGGTAACGGTGGTGGGTGATTTGAGACGTTTGGTTCCTCACTGGAATTATTCCTATTTGACAAAAGGGACTGGTTTCTTACATCCTTCTCTTCCTCTGTTTTCTGGAACAGCATCAAGTGAACTTCTGGGCTTGAGGATCAAGAGGTTTCTAAACTCGAGCATCCCAGCTCCGTGCACATCCCCATCCCTGACCCGCAGCTCCGCTCATCGCCATGTGGCCAGGAAGAGGTTATTTTTATGCCTTTAAAATTAAACACAGCACAAAGGGGGGGGAAAAAAAGGTATTTCTTGGGAAGTGAAGCAGCTTGGGAAGGCTAATGAGGCAAAAATATCAGCTCATGAGAAACCCGGAGGTGTCAGGGGTGCCCCAAGGTGATAACTTATTTAACGGAGGATTGAGAAGGGGGAGGAGGAAGATGACACCAGCCTGACCATGCCGGCCTGGGTGCTTATTAGAGACTAAGGGAGAACATCAAATTAATTATAGAGGGCAAAGGTGCCATCCCATCTATTTTTAATCACCTCTCATGTTGGAAAAGTCTCTCCGGATCGCTGGAGCTGCCCTCGCCGCGAGAGGCCAAAGTCCAAGTGGGTTGTGCGGCAGGTGGCCAAACCCCAAACCAGCGCAGCCGAAAACTTGCTCTTAGAGAAATGAGCTGCCCTTTATCCCTTCTTTTTTAATTTTTCCTTCCGTAAGTGGGTTGGAGTGAAGGGAGAGCCGTGTAGAGAGGATGGGCTAGGTGGGGGATGCCGCAGAATTGGGGTTAGCGCACCCCGGCTGCACGTGGGATGCGTGGCTGAGGGTATTCCCCAGGATTTGGGAAGCTGTGGCAGACAACCCCTTGCAACATCTTGCTTCCTTACGGGGTTAGCAGAGGAAAAAGGGAAGGAAAATCCCTTGTTCACAGGCAGTCCTGGTCCCACATGCTCTACAGCCCCTGGATGGGTGCAAGTCCTGCGGGTGCTGGACCCCCCACTCAGCTGGGACATCTGGAAGCTGCTGAGTCCATACGGCTTCTTGGGGCCGTGCCCACAGGGGAATTTTGCAGGCTGGTTTCTGTTCCTCTGGTCTTGCTGAAGCTGCAAATAGCAAAATCCCAGCACAGCATCTCCGCTGCCCGCACACCCCTGCCTGGCACACAGGAGCCGTCCCTGCGGCGGCAGTTGGCGTGGACGGGGGTTGCAGCGGTCTGGAGCAGGACTGTCCATGCTGCAGTTTGTAATGCAGCCCCGGGAGATCTCCAAACATCCCTCCAGTGTGTGGGGTCTTCCCAAATCCAAAGGAGGTAAGGCTTGGCTCCGGCTGAGAGGGAGACCCCCCACACCCTCACAGCTACGTTTGTGCTGCTCTTCAAAGAGGACCGTTCCCAAAACAACACCATGGAAATGCAATCCTGGCGTACATCACGTAGCAGGAAAGGCAGCGATTTAGCACGCTGCATTAGCTCCGCCGCATCCTCCAGAACAATTTCCCAGAGCCCCTTTCCACCGCTTCGCAGGCAGACAGCGTCTCATCCCCTCGCCCTCCTTCCAGGAAAGGCTTTGTGTTTGGAGAGAAAGACTTAACAAGGCTCTGGGAGGATAACTCGGCGGGATTTTGCATCTCAGACTCGGCGTCCTTAGCCCCGGGATCAGCACTTCCTCCTTGAAGAGCTTTGACGAGGTACCTGGATGGAGGCGGCACGGCTAATGCCTTCATCCTCAGCGTATGAATATTCAGCAGCTCCAGCGAAATCTCTGCACCTAGCACCCAGCCAGGGCTGGGGGAGTGCAGGGGGATCCGGGGTGCTCCCAGCACGGCAGCTCCCCATCCCTGCTGCAGCCGGGAGCTCCCGGCACTGCCCTGCCTCTCGCCCCTCCAGCACGGCCAGGGATGCACGGGGAGGGCACGGCACTGCAGAAACACTCACGAGAGCGAGGGTGAAACTCTTAAATCTGGCTCGTTTGAAGGTCTTTGCTTTCTGCTGATGCCTCCTTGGCTGGAAGGCCCCAGGAGCTCCAGGGAGGGGGCTGAAGATCTCTGGGTGCAGGTACCCGGTGGGCAGCAGACATGACATCAGCTATGGGATGGAGATGTTTCTCCCTGAACTTTCCTAGGAAAAGAGTTCATACTCCCTGTGGAAAAGCCCCAGGTGTTTCTAGTCTTCTCAGGGGAGAAGGAAATCAAACCACCACCAAGAAAAACAATCTGCACCGTACTTTACACCCCCTTTTCTAAAGAAAACCTCCACTGAATCTTCAGACCCAGGGCTGAAGGTCGGCTGGGAGCACCTGGGTTGGGGCAGCCGGGATTTCAGCTCACCCAAAGGACCCCAAATTTGGCTGGAGAGCCCCTCAAACACCGCCCTCCATGCCTAGATGCTTTTATCGGTGCCAAACTGCTCAGCACATCTGGCGCTCTCGTTCAGAGCTGTCATTTTCCTGGCTGTTAGAGGAGAGAATATGGTAAAGAGCAGCCTGGGTTTGCAACGCGACTCCTGCGAGAGACGTGACATGTTTATTTTCCCCGTGCCAACTTCCACATCAAACGTGTTTTCTTTTTCCATGCTGCAAAAGGGAATATTCATCCCTCCCTCCCCCTATCTACCAGCACCCGGCGCCCTGCAAACAGCCCGGTCGGTCCTTCAGCTCCGATTTCAGCATTCCCAGGTCCCCGAGATGCCCCTGACATCCCATTTTCCATGGGCAGAGCTGGGTGGGGGCTGAGGTTTCTGCTCCCTGGCATGAGCAGTAAAGTGGAAAAAAAATAAATAAAAATCAAGAAATATTTTGTGTGACCCAAATCTCAGCGTTTCACTGCAGTTTTAGCCGCTGTCAGGTTGCTTGGGGGGGGAGGGGGGAAAGACATTAAGGAAAGAGGATGGTATTCTCCAAAACAGCCCCTGCCACACGGGAATGTGTCAGCTCCGCTGAAATGTTTGTTTGTTTGCTTGTCTCCCAGAGCAAAACAGTCAGGGAATTGTCTGCAGCATTGCAAAATAGTTAGACTGACCCAAATCCCTGCAGTTCTGCAGCTGAAGGGCCCCTGTCCCCCATCACACACAGACACCCACCGCCCCCCCTCCCGGGGCTTGGGATGCTTGGCCGGACACAGGCGGATGCTCGGTGGAGCTTGGCTTTCGGTGCCGCTTCCTCCTGTGGTTGCTTGTCCGTGGTTTATTATTTTGTTTCCATTATAGACATTATTAAAAAAAATAAACTTTACAATAATACATTTCTAAGTTGTTGTTGCCACTTGAGCTGTTGTTTTTTTCTTTTTAAAAAATAAAGGAAAGAAAATTTAAAAAGCCACACTGTAGATGTATATGGTTATGTATATACATACATATATGTAGGTATAGGTGAACGGTGTATACATACACTATATATGTATATAGAAAAGAAAGGAAAGGGAGAGGAACATACAGAGGTTTCTGACCCCTGGTGGGACCCAAATTGGACTGGACGAAGATTAAAAAAAAATAAAAGGAAAATCTCCCCCTCGAAGGGACAGATTGAAAACATCAGGACAACCTCACGACGTTTGAACAGCAGTTTCTTTTCTCTTCCATCTGAAAACTCGACCACGGGAAAGAAATAAACCAAAAAACCCCAATAACAAGGCCAAGAGCTCAAGCGAGTCCCCTGGTTGGATGCAGAAGAGACTCCCAGCAACGCGTCCATCCTCCGGGATGCTCCGATGCGGAAACCTCGCCGTCCCCAGGCCACCCCAGTGCACTTGGGCTGATGGGTCCAGCAAATAACCTTTGCCAAAGCTCTGCTCAACACGTTTTCCCCCCACAAAGTGCCGCTCGCAGCTCTGGACCCCCCCTCCCTGTTGTAGGGCACGCAGTGGGGTTTCACGACGAGCCGTGGGCTCCTGCTGCAGGAAAGAAACTCAACGCACCATAAAAGACCAAAAAAAAAAAAGGGGGGGGGAAAAATGAAAAGAGGAAGAAAACCACCAAAGTTTCCCAACGTGGTGAGGGTCCTCCTGCCGCCCGGCCCACCCGGGCTCGGCATCGGCGTTGCAGTCTCCGGCACGAGGGGGTCCTTCC